GTGGGGGGACCCCAGTGCCGGGCAGGGGCTGCAGCGGGGCCCGGTGCAGCTGGGGAGGGGGGGTGCAATAGGGGTCCCTGTGAGGTTTGGGAGGGGCTCCAGTGGGGGGGCCCGGTGCGGGTCGGGGGGGCTGCAATGGGGGTCCCGGTGCCATCCGGTGCGGGGGCTGCAAGAGGGGACCCCAGCGCGGGATCGGGGGTCCCGTGCATTCCGGGGTCCCGGCGCGTCTCGAGGGGGGAGAGCCCGTGCAATGGGGGGGCCCCGCAGTCCGGAGGGGCCCTGTGCAGTTCGGGGGAGCGCTGCAATTTCGGGGATCCCGCTGCGATTGGGGGGTCCCGGTGCGGTTCGGCGGGGCGCTGCAGTGAGCGGTGCCGGTGCGGGTCGGGGGGGCTCGGTGCGGGCCGGGGTCCCGGTGCGATGGGCTTTGCACCGTGCGGTGGGGGGGGTCCCCGTGCCCTTCGGGGGGGCCCTGCGGGTTCGGGGTTCCCGCAGTGTCGGGGGGCCCGTGCGCCTGCACGGCGGCGGCTCCGCAGCGCGGGGGGGGCTGGGGGGGCCCCGCTGCACCGCGCCGGGCTCGGCGCTGCCGGCAGCGCGAGTGGCGTGTCCCCCCCGTGAGCTCCGTCCCGCCGCGTGGCCTTCGTGGGTGACACCCCCAGACCCCCATCTCGGGGCGATGCCTCGGTTTGGGGAGGGTTGCAGCATCGGGGACCTCGCTGCGGGGGAAGGGGGGGGTCAGCGTGTGTCCCCCCTCCACCCGTGTCCTTATGGGGGGTCCCATCCGTGTCCCTGTGGGGTGGCGCGGCCGGGGGGTCCTTTCTTGCTATCCCCCCTCTGCGGGGCCCCCCCTTTTCCTGCAGAGCCTTGTGTAACGCTGCCGACCCCACGGGTCTCTTTTGGGGGTGCCCATGGGTCCCCCCATCCCGGGGACAGCGGAGGGGAGCGGGGCCGCATCCTGCCCTGGGTGGGCGCTCAGGGGGGCTCGGTTCGGGCTCCCACTCCCCCCCGTTTGATGCTGGGGGAGGTTTTGGGGGTCCCGGGCTCTGACCGGCGCTTGGTCCCGCAGGGCTCCCGGGCGGCGCGGGCACAGCCCCGGTGCCCCGGCCGGCGCTGACGGACACGCGCCTGTGCGAGCCCCCCCGGGCCACCATGGACCCCCAGAGCGACACAGGTGAGAGCCCGGGCCGGGGGGCTCGGTCACAGCCGGGCCCCCCAACACTCTGCGTGTCCCCTGGCCCTGCTGGGGCAGCCACCAGATATTGGGGTACCGGGGGGGCCACGGCCGCATTCCACCCAGCACGGCACATCCGTGTCACACCGGGGTGTCCGGGCACCGGGGGGCACCAGGGCCGCCCCCTCCCCCGGTTATCCTGGCCCCCTTCCCGTTATTCCCGGACCCCGGCATCCCCCCGCCGTGCGGGGACATTGAGGCACGGCTGCTGTCACTGTCACCGTCACCGGCGTGGCACGGCTCACACGTGGCTCTTTATGCCACCGGGGGCGGGTCCCCGCTGCCCCCTGGGGTCCACCCCGCGGTGCCACGCGTGGGGACAGCCGCGGTGACCGCGAGGGCCGTGCCCGCGCTGTCCCGGCTCCCGCTGGCTCCCCGCCCTGTAATTATCCCGGTTGGGAACTCCGGCGACATCTGGACGCGCTCATGTCCCCCCCAAGGGGACACGCGGCAGCGCCGGCACCCGCGGGCTCTGCAGGGGAAACTGAGGCCCGGGGCGGTGGCATCGCCATCCCAGTGTCCCGCTGGGGTCAGGGGTGTGCGTCCCCTCTGTCCCCAAAGCCCCCCCGGGCCGCCCGCCGGTATTTTTGGAGCGGCCGCAGGGCTGGAGCGTCGCCCGGCCGTGCCTGGCACGGGGCTGGCACGCGGCGCGGTGGCACGGGGACACGGCGGCGCGGGGACACGGCCTGGCCATCCCTTGGGCGCTTTCCTTGGGGTCCCCTCCCGGTTTGGGGTCAGTCTGGGGGGGTTTGGGGACACCTCGGGGATGCTGTGATGATTTGGGCCGGTCTCAGCCGGGCTGGGGCCATCGGGGATGTGACAGAGGCCACCCGTGCGCTCAGGGGTCCCCAATCAACCCCTGGGGGGGTCTCTGTGACCCCCGGGTCTCTGTGACCCCCGAGGCTCCTTTTCCTCATCCCAGAACCGGGAGGGTCCCGTAAGTGCCGGTCCCATCCCGGGGCGCACCCCCCTCCTTCCCTCCCGGAGTTCCCGGGGGTCCCCACTACTCCCCCCCATATCCCTGAGGGTCCCCCCATCCCCCAGATGTGCCGCCCCCTCCGGAGGGGGCTCCAGGGGCCAGGCCGCCCCTGTGCCCTGCCATGGGAGCCAGGGAAGGAGTTCGGGGCTGGAGTAGGGTGGCAGCAGCAGGAAGGGGGTCCGGGAGGCAGCAGGGCCCATTCCCGCGGCCTCCTGCCCGCCGGCAGCACCAGAAATAGCCGGGCTGACGTCAAGCCCCAAAGCACCCCGGGGGGGGCAGCGGGGGGGGGGGGGGGGGGGGGGGGGGGGGGGGGGGGCGGGGGGTGTCCCAGAAATATCCCGGCTATTAAAAGTCTTGGCTTGGGATTAACGCGTGGTAAATAAACGTGGCGGTGCCGGGGGCGGGGGGGTTACACACGGCCGGGGCAGCGGGACCGGGGCGCCGGGAGGGTCTCCATAAGCGGGGGGAGGTCCCTGACCCTAAAAAAAAAAGGGGGGGGGGGGGGGGATTCCACACCTCAGCACATGGTCACCCCCCCCAGAGCCACTTGGGGACACAGATCCGGCGGGATCTGTGCTGAGCTGGCATCTGTGCCCCCCCCCCCAGCCCCGCTTGCTGGGGGAGTCAGGGGGTCTCGAGTGGGGCGGGGGGGGTCGCCTGCCTTCATTCTCCCGAAGTGGAGGCTAATCCCCCCCGGCACATCCCCGGTTTTATTCCCGGCAGCGCTGATGCGGATTAACGTCCCTGGCAATTAGGGGGATGTGGGATGGGGGGGATAGAGGTGAGGGGGTCGTGGGGACCCCAATCCCCCCTCCAGCCTCCCCCAGGCAGGGCAGCCCGTGCCCCCCCCCAGCCGCCGGGGCAGTTCGGGGGTGTCGGGGTTTGTGGGATGGGACAGAGCGCATCCCCTCCCGGGATCTGTCGTGGCCCCCCCGGCACAATTCCCTATTTATAGCCGCTCCTCCCGTGCCGCGGCTATTTCCAGGCGCCACAGAGAATAGCCTGGATTGGGGGGGGCCATGGGTGAGGGGGGGCCCGCCAGCCCTGCCCTGCCTGCGGTGGGGGGGGGCTGCACGTGCTCCCATCACCCCAAAAACCAGGGATGCTCTGTGACCCCCAGCCAGCCCCGGGGGGGGGTTTTGGGAGCTGAGGTTGGGTTTGGGGGATGCACGTGGCCCCCAGCCCGTTCGGGGGGTCACGGGTGTGTCTCTGCAGAGGGGGGGTCCGGCCGTGAGCCCCCGCTGGAGCTCCTGCCCCGTGTCCCGCTGCACGCTGCCCTGCCCGCCCCAGGTGAGTGGGGGGCGGCCCCCCGTGCCCCCCCAAAACCCGGTGACACCGCCCCAAACCTGGTGACGCCCCCACAGGTGTGCAGGGGTGTGTAAGGGGGGAGCTGCTGAACACGGGTGTGCTCAGGTGTGCGGGAGGGAGGGAGACGCCCCCCTTGCACAGATGGACAGGTGTGCAGGGACAGGTGTGCAAGGACAGGTGCTCCAGCCCTGAGGGTGCTGGTCCCCATCCCCAGCCCCTCCCGTGTCCCCATTCCATGGGGGGACACCCCCATTGCGCCAACGAGGACCTCTCAGTTTGGGGGGCCCTGGGCAGCGAGGGGTTAAACGTCCCGTGTCCCTCACAGGGGGGGACCCCGCAGGGTGCGGGGGTGTCACCCCAAAGCCGCAACTGTCCCCAAAGTGCGGGGTTGGCACCGACGGGGGCTGTTTTTAGCCCCCCCTCCATTGCCCCCCAATACCCACAGGCTGGGGCTGGCAGGTTTGAGGGGGGCTGGCAGGTTTGGGGGGGCTGCAGGAGTACCCCAGAGTACCCCCAAATACCCCCCGGGAGA